ACACTTTGCAACGCGATATCGATACATATTTTACACCTATCACGGCAAGTCTTAAATATCCCACAGATACATGTAAAAAATACATTCAATAGTGTGCATCTTAATTGGCTCATGCAGTTAGAAAACTTCTACATTTAGTCAACACGATAGATATTTAAAAAGAAGCATAACTATATGCGAAAGAAACATGATATTGCGTAATTATATTATTCATTTCTCATTGAGTATTTAGAGCCTCTAGGATGTGTAAACTTACATAGAAGAAGTTGTGGAATAGTTTCTAGTTACTGGAACCAAGCGGGGAAATAAAATGCTTGACCTAATTTAAAAATGTATACAGTATATTCGACAATATCGACCTAGTATTATAAATTAAAAACAGTTTTTTTTAATACAAACATACCTTTACTTGTTTTAAGCAAAATGTTGTTCAACCTCGTCTCTGGCAGCAGATCTTGCAGAGTATTTTAAAAAATGCATTTAATTAATAAGACCGCCTCTTGCCGATTTGTAGCCAATAGCGTGACGGAATGCATGATGAGTGATAGGTTAGTTACCTAACGGAAGGAGCCATCGCCATGTTTTGCACCGCCTTGTCTTGGTATGTTATTTTGATTGGATAATTTCTTTCAAACCACATCGTTCGTTGATTGGCTGAGCGGCCTGTGAGCCGAGATCTGGGTTGTTTGTGGAGAAGCATGGATTAGTAAACTCACAATATATTTGCGTTTAACTGGATTTGCCTGTATTCGTCAGCTTAGGCAGCCCCGCTAGGGAACAATTCAAAGACATGAACAGAACGTAAATGCGTTGGTTGACATGGAGGTCTTCCTGATGACCATAGGGGAATTTCATAAAGCGAGAATACTCAACCGGACAACTTTAGCAAATATGTCGATGAAAGTCTTGTCTGGTTTCACGAAGCAAGATTGAATATTATCTGGTTACCTGTAGTAACACATCCAGGTTCGGTCAAACACTGCCTGACTTTGTGATAAACAAGTAATAGGTTTATTCCATAATGAAAAACAGAAGAAAGAAAATACGTTTCGGCCGTGGAGCCTTCTTCAGGTGACACCAGGCTCCTGTTGACACCAGTTGACACCTGAAGAAGGCTTCACGGCCGAAACGTTGTTTTCTTCTTTTTTTCAGCATGGAATAAACCTATTAAATGTTATATTAAATAGTATTGCATGTTCCTTTGCAGCCTACGCATGCTGACGCAGCTACCTACCTGAACTACTTTGTGATAAACAGTTCTGTACAGTTATCTAGAAATCCTCTGCAAATACGTCATTTTTGTCAAGGGATACAGTGGATATATGATCAATTGTGTAATAATAATAATAGCTTACACTTATATAGCGCTTTTCTGGACACTCCACTCAAAGCGCTTTACAGGTAATGGGGACCCCGCTCCACCACCACCAGTGTGCAGCCCCACCTGGATGACGCGACAGCAGCCATAGTGCGCCAGTACGCTCCCCACACACCAGCTCTCAGTGGGGAGGAGAGCAGAGTAATGAAGCCAATTCATAGAGGGGGGTATAGAGTGAAGCTACAGGAGCAACATTAAGCAAAGCGAATGAACAGTGTTGGTAAACAGCCGAGCTTCAAAGTAAGCGTCCTTCAACCTAATATAGTATTGCTTGGAGCGTATAACAACATTATGCAATGCAGCCGAGTATTGCTTGCTGTACAGCAGGGGTGTCCAAACTACGGCACGTCACCGAACCCCGAGTTAATTTAGATTGGAACTAGATTTGGCATGATATTAGGTAAAAAAATGAAGTGACGCCGGAGGCTCGGTTCGAGTCCCCAGAGGTGGGGGGGCGCATATCTACGTGAACCCGAGAGCGCTACACTATTTTGAACACTAGGTGCCGCCATCACGTAAAATCACATCTCAAAACTGATTAGCTACCCCTTCGGCCTACGAAACTGAAACGGCCCCCTCTTTACTGTCTTCAAAACTTTAATTCTGTAAATTAACGTTAGCAAGCTTTTGAAAATGGCGGAACCAAAGAAACGAAAAATTGACAGCGAATGCAGGAGATTCCAGCCACGTTGGCAAAATGAATATTGTACCATTTCACCGAGTCCTGAGGCAAGTGTGTCTGTTTAATTTGCCAAGAATTAGTTGCTGTAATGAAGGAATATAATGTAAACAGACATTATGAAAATTAACACCTGTAAGAGTAGTCCCCTAAATTAAAAGGCAATTTGGTTATTGGAATGCACTTATATCTGGTATTATTTGAAGTAGTCCAGGTGGGTAGCTGCGTCAGCTGCAAAGGAACAAGTAATAGATTTATTCTATGCTGAAAAAAGAAGAAAGAAAACACAACGTTTCCGCCTTGGAGCCTTCTTCAGGTGTCACCTGAAGAAGGCTCCTGTTGACACCAGTTGACACCTGAAGAAGGCTCCACGGCCGAAACGTTGTGTTTTCTTTCTTCTTTTTCAGCATGGAATAAACCTATTACTTGTTCTTTCTGGTATTATTTGTTTATTTGGCCTCACCTGTAGCATGTGGCTCGCCGCTCCAATTTTTTTTCTCCATCTGGCCCCCAGTACAAAAAGTTTGGACACCGCTTCTGTAGACGATTTGTAGATGGCAAACTCCTATGCCAGAAGGATGCCTGTCTTATGGCTACAGCTGCTCTCCAGCAGGAAGTCTTGGGAGTTTGAATTCCTGGAACCCTGGACCTTTCTGCCCTTTGGTTACAGAAAACAATCTTGACAAGAGCTGCCCAGTCAAACATTACAGGTGAGCCCTAATAATCATACCTGTTTTTTAGATAAAGTGTGAAGTTTAGTAACAATAACTCACTTGGGTGAATCTGCACTAAACGTTTTCAGTGCTTAATTAAAATTTTCAGATTTTCCATTGCTTAATGAAACAGGTGGTTGTCATTGAATTCCTACCCCTCCTTATGGTAGATTTCACAAACGGACAGATGGCATGGCAGGAATACCACCGAACAGCAGAACTTGATCTTGGTGTGAGGTATTTGTCTACAGTGGGATACTTCCTGCCGACCTCTGACCTGTGGTGCAGTGATGATAATGAGCACTTTTCTATTAAGTGTTGGTTTCTGCTTCACATTTCAGCCCTTTTGGAGATGCACACATTTTTGTTTAGTCAAAAATTAGACTTTTCATTGTCCAACACTGCCCTGCACTGTGCAAATCTGGCAAGAGGAAGTGGTCTACAAACACTGTAATAAATACTTACTGACTTACTGTAATATTATTACTGCTGTGGGTTTCTTCTTCACATCCAGAAACTTTTGGAGATAAGCAAATTTGTGTTTGGTCTCAAATGAGACTTTTACCTGTCCAGCACTGCACTGCACTGTGCCAGTTTTCCAAGACGAAGTAATATATAAACACCAAAAACATTAGCAAGGATGCAACAGTGAATGAAGAACGATTTTCTATTAGCTGTGTGTCTTTATATCGCTTTCCACACTGTTTTTGGGATGCACAATTATTCTTTTGCCAGAAATGTACTGTAACTACCCTGTCCAGGAATTTTTTGTTTGTGCTGAATTTGTCCCCCGAGATATAGCACATTATGTTTTCGTAGTGTGACAGTCAGCCCCCATACAATAGCTCAGGAGAACTGAACCGGGGCGTTTCATGAACCAGGTTTAACAAATTCAGGATTTTCTTCAATTAGCTGGATTTAATTAATCAGATAACAAACTTCGGGTTTAGTTTTGTTCCATGAAGTCGACCAATTCAATTAACCCGTTAAAGGGAGTCTACACGTTCTTGCCGCACTTCAGCAGACATGGAAGGTAGAGCATCAAATCCTTGAATCATTTGCACCTGGAAAACCACGATAAAAGCGAATGCGTCTTCAGACAGTGACCATGATTTATGGCTCTTCATAAATAACTATGAGGAGAAAAACCTGTTGTTTAACAGGTTAACAAAGATAGATACAGGTTACAGTATAACAAAGAACTATACTGTAACCAATGCAAAAGTCAGAGAAGACACCAGGCAAAGAATTGCAGACAAATTGAATGTGGAAGTTAATTATTAAATCCAATGAAGTATGTCAAAATAAGACAAAAGTATAAAATGTCAGCAAGCTCACAAGTATTAGCATTATTCATTTGATTTACTCATTTGATAATAAAGGAAACATTGTGATAATGTAAACTGTACACAAATTTAAAAACTTCTTTTGGTGGAAATTATTGACAGCTTTTGTATATTGTGTAATCAATAAGAATATTTTTAGGCTTGGAATTTATTTTTTAACCTGTACATTGATGGGTGAAATAGGGGCCACTCAGCCATCACAGTAAAAAACTGCACCAGACACAAGTAATCATACTGTAGTCTGAGTTTCTGTTAATGCTGAACTACATCAAGCATTATTAACAATGTATGGACTTGAGAGAATGTGTATATAAAGTATAGCCTGCTGTCTGGTAAAACAGTATTTTTAAAGAAAATATATCAGCACACTATAAAGGGTTTTGACAATCTCTAAACTTTCATTCTTTCCACAAAGCTCCAATGTCAACTGGATCCATGGAAAAAGGTGACATCATTTTTACAGGGGACTGAACTGTCTGTGATTCAAGCTCTTAACCAGTCAGGGTAAGTTTAAATTAAAGTATTTCACGTAATCATTATACTGTCTATACCCATGTGTAACAGAACCCCACTTGAGGTGAGATGAGTGTAGGGGAAATCTGCCTTATTAACTAGTATTAAAGGTGTGGGATAGTCTGGGGTAGTGAATCAGTGTCTCTCTAAGGGTGGTGTATTTGTATTTCTTGCCTCAAGTTCTTTTTGTTCTTTACTATTGATCAAGGTCCTTGCACAGACTCCCGTTATTATCCACACAGTTTAGAGATGATGTGGGTTTGCACAGCAGGTTCAACTGTGCCTGGACTGGGAGGGGGCTCTGGAGCAAGGTGCAAATACACAATGCATTTTTTCACCTGGCCATTCGGATGGTCAACATGGTGGCATTGTTTGGCTACAAAGCAAAAAGTAGTTCCTTAATTAGGAAACTGCGACATACCCCTCTCGCAGTCCTTTGACTGCTCGTCTGTGCTAACCTACAGTATGTGGTACAGTACCTTAAAAGGAGTAGCAGTGGAATATCCTCAACCTGGTCGATTTCTTTAACAGCTGCCCTGTTACATAAAGAGACTTATTCCATGGTGACTTGCTAATAAGGACATAAGATACACTGGGGGGGGGGGATTCACAGATTCCAAAAGACAACAAGATTACTGACGTCTGTATAACATTATTTACATACTATTATTTTTACTAAAATTATTATTATGCTAAAGTTAAATTTAATCTAACAGTACTTTTCCTTGAATTTAAATCACTATATACACCGTATTAATGTTTAAAAATGTATCTAAATCCTAAATTTAAAAACATTAAATATTGGTCGACACATAACATTTTTAACCTCTTTATCCAGTCCACAGGATATCAATCCATTGCCCAACACACACATACAAACCACAGAAACAAACAGGCTAACATCCACCACAGCTTGTTTTACAGAAGCCAATTAACCTGAGTCGAGCAGTATGTCTTTGCATGGTGGGAGGAAACTAGAGCACCCAGAGGAAACCCACACAAACATGGGAGAACATACAAACTCCATAAGGATAGCACCCCAGGAATAGAACCGAGGGCCTCAGCACTGTGAAGCAACAATATTAACCACTGTACCACCATGCTGCCCTACATGTTAAATTTATATTCTAATAAGAATATCTCTTTAGCATTATAGAGATGAAATTTCAAAATATTTAATGTTTTGGTCTAGATTTTGCTTTGCACACTTTACTTCACAGGTTGACACTCAGCATTCTCTGTCACAAGATTGAGACCTTGCTGTGCTATTCTCTGTGACTCCCTTTTTTCTCCACCTGTGCAAAGAACATAAACTCATAGGAACTCTCCACTATCTCTAGCTGACTTGGAAATATTATTAAGGCTTCCACTGGTCCTTGTGTATCCCTTTATTTGTTAGGTATGCAAACCAAAACCTTGTATATACTTTAATTTAGTCTTTGTAATTTTAAAGATCTGCATCTATGGGATGCTGTTTCTCTTGCTTCTTTCGGGGTTCTGACATCTTTGTCCTCCAGGCCAGGTTGTTGTTCTCTCAGCTACCTGAGTTAAGTCAATAAAGAAAACCAATTCAAATCACACCTCTGCCTTTTCTTGATCTGCATTCAGCCAAACTACTGCATCCAACTAAAATGCAGCATCATGGCTCCTTGTTTTCCAATAGAGGAAAAACGTATCTAAGTAAAACACCAGCGGACAATAACACAGGCTTGCTGCTCTTGGTGGGAGGAAATGTGCTCTTTTCATTGGTACACATTTGGAAAGTTATCAGACAAACTCAAATACATTCAGGAGCTCAAGGTTTCTCAGAGTATTTTATCCTTCCAGTTGTAACACCAAATATGGGTCCAGATAGATTTCCATTTCCCAAGATGCACACAATCTTCTTTCTGTCTTAACAAAGCACCACATTTGACTTAAACAATTCTAGCATTTGGAACTGAATAGATTACAGCAGCATGAACAAAGCCATGGCTTATTTGAAGAAGCTCAAGTGGGTAGCTGCGTCAGCATGCAAAAGAGCAGGTAAGAGTTTATTCCATGCTGAAAGGAAAAGAAAAGAGACGCAATATTCTGTTTATTTGCTACTTTCCCTCTCTCTCCCTCACACCTGAAGAAGGCTTCATAGCCAAAACAGCCATTATGTCTGTTTTCTTTTCCTTTCAACATGGAATAAGACTTATTTGTGCCATACTGTTGACATGCAGCTGCTTGCTTCATGCAAGAGTTTGCTTTTGCCAAATTGGCATCTCTTGCCATCTTCTGCTGAGTCAAATACAAAGAAATAGCATCAGACCACTTCTTCTTGTTTTACTGTAGTTATTATGCAAGAACTGAAGGAATGCTCACACAAAAACATCCATGGTCCTCTTTTATACCATTGTAAACATGGTTTAAGTCTATTGACTGTTAATTTTTCCTCTACTGCCTGAGAATTCACCAACATTGCCAGATGATAATTCTTCAAACTTCACTTTCAGCAGCATCTATACTGACACCAGCTATGCAAACTGATTTGAAACATGGCTTTGCTATATGACTTTTTTTCTTTATTTCCCTACCTTTTCTACATTTTCATTAAAAACCATATTTTTTCCAATCTGCATACTTCAAAAATTACAGTATGTATAAAAAACAAAAGATACATTTGTGACTCAACTGTAATATTAATGTAATAATTAACTATAATTTTGAAAAAGGAAAAGTGATGCCAAACAAAAAGCAAATGTAAATTTTGCCAAAGGGTAGTTCAGAATGTATTTCTGCTAATTCTGCTGTTCTGATAATCAAATACTCCATAATTATTCCATAATGCATCACTTGCACTTTTTAATACTGGGTTTGCAGAGATATTTGGAGCATCCGAGTTGATACATGATGTTTCATCACAGAGGTTTGAGTAGGTATCTACTTCAGCATGTATAGCCTGCAAAGTAACAGGCAAAGGTTTATCTAATGGTGAAATGAAAAGAAAACCTTCTTCAGGTGTGATGGAGAGAGTAGTTAAGAATGGGCAAGGAGCAGGGAGCAAATGGGTGTGAATCAAATGAGAATGAGTGTCCAAACTGTGTTTTCAAGAGGAGAGGTGTGAAAAGCTGAAATCTATAAATGAATGGAAATGATTTAGAAGGAGATTGTCGATATGAGATGATGGGGAAGTTGTCATTGATGGTCCTGGGGATAGATAGGGTGGTAGGGAAGAAGGTGAATGGAATAGGGTTGTGAGTCCCAGAGTTCCTATTTGGTTTGATGATCTGAGATGTGTTTTTGTCTCGGGTGAGGGCCCTGTCAATAATGAGTTTTAGGTATCCTTTATCAGTGAAAAAAGAGTGCGTTTTGAAGGTTTGGTTATGGAAAACCACATCATTGTGGAATTGTGGAAGTGGAATCCCCTTTATTAGAATCTCACCACAAACTCAAGTCACTTTGCCCTTTCTGGGACTGTGCTGCTACCATCCATGCAGAGGAATGCTGGAGAACACAATAGAAATATCTGAACATCCCATAGAAACCCCTCATCTGAGAACCAGATATATCACTACCATGTATGAGATCCCTCAGAGTCTCTGGTGTCAGGTGCAGCACAGAATCTACACTCGATCCTGCCTGGAAGCACAGCAGTGAAGCACTCAGACCACAAAGTGCACAGGAGTCAAACACCACAGTGCAATAAAATTTCTGTCATAAGATGCACAGCAATGTACTGTACATACAATGTACTGTCTCAAAGCTGGTGCAACTATTAATTGATAAATAACGGGAAGACAACGCATTAAATGTTGGAGAAACAGTATACCGGACTGTTTCTCCTTAAAACTAACAAAATTCTATCCAAAATTCATCATTGATAATACTGTATGTAAATGTTTTTTACCGATTCCATCTGATTTTTCCCATTAATAGTTTTACCACATTTTTAATAAAACAAGTAGGACGTTTTCTATCCTTATTTCTCCTCCTATAGATTAGGGATAACAAGTGATTATATAACTTGAAAAATGTAGATCCTTAATTTTAAACACTACTATTAAGTTAAAGTAGTAGTGGTAGTGTGGAGCCATGGAACAGACAACATTATTCTGTTGCCTAACACTCACACTTACTTACATACATACTGTATGTTTTTACTTATTTACTTAACATGCTGTGGGATTCTAAAACTAAAAATAACTGTTTTGGTGTGCTTTTAGTAACATGCATTTACTTTGTTTGACTTCCTTGACAATAATATTTCACATTATGCTTTTCTAAGATATGTATTCTAAAGTAGACTGATGTTTACTCAAGGGTCTGTGTAGTAAAGCACAGAAAAGGTACTATACTGTCCACCGCAAACATGACAAGCTTCATCAAAAGTACAATTCAGTTCAGTTTATTTGTCATATGCACAAGTGCAATGGAATGCTTTGAAATACAAACACCAGAGTGAACATTTAAACTGTGAAGAATGAGGTTAGTAATGCAAATTATAATGTGAATTGCAGGTTCAGCTTCACAGTTTCTCTCACTTTTCTCTGTATTAATTTGAAGCTGATCATGATGGATCTATAGGTGAAGTACAGGGAGTTTTCTTTCTTTATGTATTTAGTCCGGCTGCTCGTGAACATTGAGCAGAATTAAAGGTGAGCTTCACTGAATTAATATTCATTAAAGTACTGTATTTGCAAAGTGCATTTGAGTCAGGATGAACTTGGTTACATGTTCCTTCAAGGATTAAACTTACAGATGTGTATAGAAAAACTGAAAAATGGTGGGAGATGAGGAGATAATAGTTTATGAAACTCTTTAGCTGCCTACTCCCCTCAAAAACAGAAGCACCACAATCTGATAGCTGATATCGATAAATAAAATCTGACTTCATATCATTAAAATAGGAGAAGCTGGGTTGTGAAACATCTCACAGAGTCAAGCTGATTGGCACTGTTGAGCTCAGTTCCCTCTTCCCAAACTATATAAAGAGCTTGAGTCTGGAGAGAATTTTACAGAAGAGCTCAGGTGAACAGAGAGACAGAGAGACTACATACACCGTTGGCGCTGGTGATCAGGTGAAAGTCCTTTTCACTCTCTTCAGCAGACAATCAAAGTGTCCTCTGGCACTTTTAGAGAGTTGGCATTAATTACTTTTTTCCAAAACAACTGTACTAACTGCTGGCCTGTCTCAGGAGTGGCTGGAAAGCATTTTTCAGGAATGGGCTGTAACAAGTCTGTTACAGCCCAGGTGAGCTTTTGCATCTCTAGAGCCACTCTAGGTGGCCAGGTACAGATAACATGGTTATGGAGTGAACTGAGATACAACAGGCAAAGTTTGAAACTTTGAAAAAGACCATTTAATTTTAAATGGCAAGAGTACTTATAACATCCTACAGACAGGCAAACTATTAAAATTAAAAATGCAATATTATATATTATTATTATTTTTCATATGTAATCAGTTGGAAATGATTTTATATCCATTGATTTATTGTAGTAAAAGATACAAAACCAAAACATGCCTCCAAATGTTCCACACTTTTGAAGGATTTTGAATGAGTGTGATTGAGGTGCCAAGATTAACACATGGGTTTCTGTGTGTATCAAGGAGTGTGTAAAGGAAAGGCACAATATGTGTTTGTGAATGGATGTAGCTGTGTATAAAATGTACAGCTTTCTTTATGTATTTCTTAGTTTATTTATATATTTGTTTGGATCTGTTGACGTTCCATTAACATTGATCATGTGTGAATGATCACCAGATAGTACTTAACAGTGCTCTTCTACATGTTCTCTATTTCTTTTTCATTTCTATTTTTATTTAATTTTAATTTCTATTTTGATTTATAACAATTATATCATTTCTTTATTAAGTTGCAGAAAATGCAGCCAAAATATCTATTTTTTGCAGATTAATCCAAGAGTATAGCAGTAATGAAACTATGTTAAAGATGTATAAAAATAACTTTTCATATGACAACAAAACAAGCAGTATGAAAAAAACACTTACTGTATACTGTATGTGGAGGCGTTTAGTGATGTTTGAAGCTGCTGAAACTGTTTTGTTCCTCAGCCTTCTTAAATAAACATTCAAGTGTTCTCAATTTCAAGCACTCTCCTTACTTAGGATGGTACAATGCAGTGCTGCAGTACCGTGATGAACAGTGAGAAATATATTTTCCTTACATGATTAAACTTGGTATACTCCAGCAAACCATGAGAATTAGTATTATTAAAATTTGGTTGTTAATAGTCCTTTGCTCTTCCAAAATGCAAATATAGATCTATTTAATACAGACTTTAGTTGATGTCAGACTTGGTGTTTTTTCATCATACCCTTTCAGATGTGTGATCACTCTTCTCTTCCAGAACTGATTCTCAGGAATGAAGACAATTTTTCTGCTGCTCGCCCTGGGGGCTGTAGGCATGTGTGCTGCCAAAGGTAGGGCAGACAGTCCCAGTCCATTACTGTGTTTGATACTGTGATTCATTTAGGTTTTATAAACCCTTAAGCTGGGAATTATTTATCACATGCTAAACTGTTGTAAGATTCTGAATGTCAGTCAGTATGTTTAGGACCCTGATCTGAGCTCTCCTTCCTACTCTAAGTGTTGAAGTACTGTAGTGTGCAGTAAGTGTGTCTGTATTGTTGCAAATATGGTGTTACAAAAAATACTTACAGAAATAGGCCAGACGGGATAATCAGCAATTAAAATACATTATCATCACTTACAAATTGTATAGATAATACCAAGAATATACCAACAGTTGGTATAATTAGAGGTGCTTGAGTTCATTGTTCTTTAGCACAGCTTAAAGGGACAAGTGTGTTGCTACAGTAGTAACACACAAAACAACAAAACATAAAACATACAAAAAACTCACTTTACAAACAAGGCACAAATAGTGAATAGAGGAGTTGAAACCCTACAGGACGCCAGTGCAAGGACTCAAGGACAGGAGTGATGTGATCACTTGCAATAGACCTGGTCAGGATTCTGGCTGCTGAATTCTGGACATATTGTCATTTGTTCAATGTGGATTTAGATACCCCAGTGAGCACAGTTAACGTAATCTATACGAGACAAAATGAAAGTGATGATGAGTTTTTCAGCAACAGTTAGTGACAACATAGGACAAAGTTTGGCAGTATTTGTGAGGTGGAAGAATGATATTTAGACAATATGTTGCACATGTGAGTCAAACATCAATCCTGGATCAAATATCA